TGCGTGATGCTATCATGTCAATATGGACCAACATCTCTGAGGAATATTTCCAACACCTTGTTGAATCTACGCCATGAAGAATTAAAGGAGAACTATGAGGTGAGTGATTTGCAATCATCCTCATAGTTAGAGCCGACCAGTGACAAAGAAGCTGTCACAAGTCAGCTCTATCGATCATGAAGTGAGCAGAAATATGCACAGATCTGCTCACTTCCCGATTGTCTCCCTGCAGGGATTTCCCCCTCTCCTATCCGCCAGCGCTGACTGGAGGAACGAACAGGGGACGGGGCGGGCACAGCTGGCTCTGCCTCTAGATCGGTAGAGTCAGCTGTCACTCACACAGCTGGGTGGATCTCGACAGTATTGTCAGGATCCGTCCTGGCTGCAGCGCTCTCAGTATATCGCATGCAATAGCCCGCGATATACTGAGCTTTGGGTCACGGGAGGAGGTTAGTATATGCCCTCCCGTCACCCTAAAGAGAACTATCGAGAAAAACACTAGCAACAACGGAGGAGAGATCAGCATTCCCCCACTGCTGATCTCTCCTCCAATGCTTGAGGGCTAGTTCACACCAGCCCCAGTGCGTTTTGGCCCGATTCGGTGCCGGAACGCAGTGGATCGCATCCCGGCTGGCTCACTGTGTTCTGGGGTGGGAGGGAGCGTGGCGGAGCATAGAAGTCAATGTCACCACAGCCGCGCCCCGGGGCCGCAGTGTGATCACAAGCACCGGAACGCGTGGCACATCAATGCCTGCGTTCCGGTGCGGTCAGAAAAAACAGTGCATGCAGCATTGATGTGCCACACGTTCCGGGGCGGGTGATCGCACTGTGGCCAGGGGGCGTGGCTGCAGTGCCATTGACTAACACCCCGGTCATCAAGTGGTTAAACATGCATTCAGATGCCTGCGTTGACCACTGGATTGGCTGGTTGAGTCAAAGGGTGGCCATGGATGGACAGATATCTCCCAGAGAATGTCCTCCCATGGCTCATATAATGGTCAGGACATACTCCCATCCTTGACTGATACTAGCCAGTAAGTAATACTTCTGCCCTTCCTTCTTCTGAAGTGACGAGTGGAGAATTAGTCCTGCTCACCATGTCAGAAACTCTCCCTCTTTCCAGTACAGAAACTGCCCAGATGGCTCCTCATTGGGAACATCTTCTGCTTTTATGGAGCTGCCTATGGTCCTAATCTGCATCTCAGATTTCTTTAACTATCAAATTGTCTTCTATTTGCTTACTTTTGGTCTGCTAAAGTGATAGAAAAGAAGAACTCCAGGCAAATAAAATCCTAACCCTTGCAGTGGGGACACCTCTGCACTGCAAGGGTTAAAGGGTTGTTAAAGTCAAAAGTTTTCAGCTATTTCAAATGCTGATGAAATCATTTACAATGGATGCTGCTTCTTAGTGTTGAAAATCAGCTGGTCCCCTGAGCACTGGCCATGACTTCCTGTTTTAGGGTGGCCCCTTTCTCAAGCAGAGTGCTATGGAGTCACCCTTGTGTGTGCTAGTAAGCTGTGTGTGTCTCCTCAAACACACAGACACAGCAAACCAAGCTTCTTCCCTCCCCCCTGGCCCCAACTTCTCACTCCAGCTTTCTCCAAGCTAGTAGATGAACAGTTGCTGGAGATTGTGCTGTCATTTGTGATCTTGTACTGGACAGGATGTTCAGGGCAGCTGAGCTGGAGAGTTGGAGCTCACTGTTCAGAAACATGATGACTGTGCTTGATCAAAAATATAAATAAATACTTTGCTGGACAATGTATATTAGTTTGATCTAGACTCAATACTGAAAAAAAGTTTCCGAGTTTAGTACTACTTTAAGTGCTCACTTTCCCTAGGGAGCTAAACAGGGACGTGCGGTCAGGGGAGGCAGAGCCTCACCTAGTAATATGGAGGAAAAAGCTGTCAGCTTCAAGCTTAATTACAGGCACCGCTGCATCCAGCTTTTGACAGGTAGTTAGGTTACACAACAGAGGGCTTCCCCACTGCTTGTGAACCCTAACTAGTGAGGCAAGAGCTGTCACAGCCTCTACTCTGTGTTCCGGCTGCTGTTCGGGAGAGCAGCGGCGAGTCAACGCTGGCCGGTGGGAGGAGCTCCAAGTGGGGTCCTAATTTAGCTGGCTGGCAACCGGGCAGTCGCCGGCCAGCTAAATTAGGACCCCATCTGGAGCTCCTCCCACCGCACCAGCGCTCACTCGCCGCTGCTCTCCCGCACAGCGCCGACTACGACCTCACCAGCGAGGCACATCGTAAGGCGCCGGCCATCATCGAACAGTGAGTGAGGGCAAGGGGGGGGTCCCTATTAAGAACATATTTATATTAGCTGAGGATAATTGTCTGCAGTGTGTGCTCTATATGTACCACATATAGAATACACTGCAGTAATAGATTTACAATGATCCCCTACTAATATGAATGGGTTAAATGATCCATAGTACATAACATGTAGTTGCATTATGGATCATTTAACCCATTCATGTTAGCAGGGGATAATTGTAACTCTATTGCTGGAGTGTAGTGGAGTGGTGTGCTGTATATATGTACTACATATACATTACACACGTCCAGTACACTGCAGTAATAGAGTTACAATTAGCCCCTGCTAACATGAATGGGTTAAATGATCCATAATGCAACTACATGTTATGTACTATGGATCATGATTTAACCTATGCATGTTAGCAGGGGAAAATTGTAACTCTATTACTGCAGTGTACTGGACGTGTGTAATGTATATGTAGTGCATATATACAGCACACACCTCCCCTACACTCCAGCAATAGAGTTACAATTCTCCGCTGCTAACATGCATAGGTTAAATCAGGATCTACAGGTGAAACTCGAATAATTAGAATATCGTGCAAAGTTCATTTATTTCACTAATGCAACTTAAAAGGTGAAACTAATATATGAGATCGACTCATTACATGCAAAGCAAGATAGTTCAAGCTGTGATTTGTCATAATTGTGATGATTATGGCTTACAGCTCATGAAAACCCCAAGAACCCCAAATCCACAACCTCAAAAAAGTAGATTATTACATGCAACCAATAAAACAAGGATTGTACATAGAACAATATCGGACCTCTGAAAAGTACAAGCATGCATATGTACTCAGTACTTGGTTTGGGCTCCTTTTGCAGCACTTACTGCCATTACTTTTGCACGATATTCTAATTATTCGAGTTTCACCTGTATAGTACAGAACATGTAGTTGTACTATGGATCATTTAAAGTCACCTGTCCCTTTAAAAAAAAAAGTATCGGTAATTGGCATCGGCAAGTACATGAGGGGAAGTACTTGTACTTGGTCCTGAAAAAGTGGTATCGGGGACATCCCTAGCTGGGGGCAAGGCTGGGGAATGCCTCACCCAGAACAAAAGGTACCGCACGTCACTGGAAATAACAGAGATACTGTATATTCACCTGAACTGCGATCCTGGCTGACTCTTGTCTCTTCAACCTGTCTCCTCCTCCAGTCCAGCGATGGAATGTTCCTCAGTGTCCTCACATCCTATACACTAGGAAGTGATGACTCACAGGACCGTAGACCATTGGAGCGGAGGGGGAAAGTCTACCCTGGCACTGCAAGGGTTAAGTGCTTGTTTGTGTCTAGGTGCAAAAAGAAAAGTTATACTCACCTGATTCTTGGAGCCGGCTTGTTCTTAGACCAGTGTCTGGAATGTCTCTTCTCTCCCTTTTTGCTGCAGCGGTCTCAGGATCCTGGTGTCATCACGCTCTATATACTGTGCACAGACGTGAGGACGCGGAGCAGCAGTCCATGTGTGCAGCGGAGGAGGAGACACTCTTCACTGATCACAGAAGCAGGTAGACGGTGTTTTATCAAAAGCTCCAACTCGTCAAAATCTCCAACTACCTCACTGCCGGGTACTTGAGAGTTGGAGATTTCGACCAGACGGCTTTAGACTGCAAAACACAAAGACTGACGGAGCTCTGTACGGCTGCATTTTAACAATATTCAGCAGGTGGCAAACTCGACGAGTATTCTGAAAACGCTATGCGTGCCGCAACTGTACAGAGCTCCAGTCTTTCTGAGCACCGTAAGTGAGGTAGTTGGAGATCTCGATGAGTTGGAGCTCTCGATAGAACACCGGCTCTGATGGTCTGGTGAGTAGAACTTTTTTTTATTTTAGCACCTAGACAGAAAACAAACCATTAACCCTTGCAGTGCAGGGGGTAGCCCCACTGCAAGGGTTAATAACATTTTTCCTGGAGTTCTCCTTTAATAAACAGTTGTGCAAATATTGTGTGACATGCAAATTGCAGCTGCCAACATTTTATTCTCCAGGGTCTCAGCTCACAGAAAATATATAATGGGGGGTTTGAAGTAATCTTCAGGCCTAAAACTTGTTATTTAACGTGCAAACAAAAAATGCAACAATGGCTCTGGTAGCAAAAGGGTTAATGGTTACTCGTGCCCTGATGTGTGCCCGTGCACATAGACGTCAGACTGCGATTCCCGGGGCACAGGTGTACATAGGAGCCCGGGGAAGATGGCACCATGAAAATTGCGATGTCTGCGATAAAAATAAACTTGCTTTGCATCGTAAGGTAATATAAAGAACGCAGCAGAGACATTTTCCTTTTATTACTCTCGGTTATGACATTAGCGTCACCTCATGTGATCAGTGCAGATGAACTGTGTCTCCTGACACTGACCTGTCCACTCCACCTCAGCTCAGCTCAGCTCAGCTCAGCTCTATGGCGACGGCCAAGCTACTGTCAGCTGGCTCCGCCCCTCCCCGTGACCTCAGCCCAATAGGGGGCCGAGCCAGCCGTCAATTACGAGTTTTATTTATGGCCAGGGCGGAGACTATCTGGCTGAATTAACGCTGGTGGGCGGAGCATAGTGAAGTCAGCGGGCGCCATGCTTGACAGGGTATGCCCGGGCTGCTCACTGATTGGCGGAACCTCGTTAGCCACGCCTGCTCAGTAATCTCCAGTCCTTCCATAGGGGTTGGGGTTTGTTGTCACCCCAAAACAACATGGCGGCTCTTCCGGAGGCGGTCGAAGGGTAGGGGTGGGTCAGACTGTGGAGCTACCGGAGGCCGTGGGCATACGGGGTCGGCCAGGGTCTGGGCTCACATCCGTGCCGAGGATAGCCCTCCTCCCTAGGATTATAATGCTGCGCTGCTAGGACATTACACTGGCCGGAGAGAACCATGATCCCAAAGGTAAGGGGGGCTGAGAGGCTCATACATTGCTCTGCTGTGTGACTTCAGACATCAACTGACTGCACAGGGGACAGACAGCACTGGGGTGACAGTGTATAGGTGAGAGCAGACACCAACTGACTGCACAGGGGACAGACAGCACTGGGGTGACAGTGTATAGGTGAGAGCAGACACCAACTGACTGTACAGGGGACAGACAGCACTGGGGTGACAGTGTATAGGTGAGAGCAGACACCAACTGACTGTACAGGGGACAGCACTGGGGTGACAGTGTATAGGTGAGAGCAGACACCAACTGACTGCACAGGGGACAGACAGCACTGGGGTGACAGTGTATAGGTGAGAGCAGACACAAACTGACTGTACAGGGGACAGCACTGGGGTGACAGTTAATAGGTGAGAGCAGACACCAACTGACTGCACAGGGGACAGACAGCACTGGGGTGACAGTGTATAGGTGAGAGCAGACACCAACTGACTGTACAGGGGACAGCACTGGGGTGACAGTGTATAGGTGAGAGCAGACATCAACAGACTGCTCAGGGGACAGCACTGGGTTGTCAGTGTATAAGTGAGAGCAGACACCAACTGACTGCTTAGGTAACAACACTGGGGTGTCAGTGTATAGGTGAGAGCAGAGATCAGCAGACTGCTCAGGTGACAGCACTGGGGTGTCAGTGTATAAGTGAGAGCAGACTGCTCAGGTGACAGCACTGGGGTGTCAGTGTATAAGTGAGAGCAGACTGCTCAGGTGACAGCACTGGGGTGTCAGTGTATAAGTGAGAGCAGACTGCTCAGGTGACAGCACTGGGGTGACAGTGTATAGGTGGGAGGAGACACGTGAGGACAGTGTTGTGGGGCCATGCATACAGTAAGGTAGATAGCAGCAGACAGATGATGGCTGTACAGGGCTGGAGGGATAGGTGACAGCAGCATTGGGGGGCACAGAGCTGAGCATAGACCAGTGACAGCTGTACACGGCTGGAGGGATAGGTGACAGCAGCATTAGGGACACAGACGTCAGAGGATAATCAGAAGCTGAACACACATGACAAGTGACAGCTGTACAGGGCTGGAGGCATAGGTGACAGCAGCATTCGGGACACAGGGGTAAGAGGATAGACAGCAGTGGACAACACAAGTGACAGCTGTACAGGGCTGGAGGTATAGGTGACAGCAGCATTGGGGGCACAGGGGTAAGAGGATAGACAGCAGTGGACAACACAGGTGACAGCTGTACAGGGTTGGGGGGATATATGACAGCGACATTCCACACACAAAAGTAAAAGGATAGACATCAGTGGACCGGACAGGTACCATCTGTACCACATTAAATGGATAGATGACAGCAGCATTAGAGCCACAGAGGTAAGAGGACAGACAGCGGTGGATCAGACAGGTGACAGATATTAAAGGGACAGATGACAGCAACATTAGGGACACAGACGTAGAGGGCAGCAGACTAGATATGTGACAGGTGACCGCTGTACAGGGTTGAAGGGTTAGGTCATAGCAGCTTTAGAGAGACAGAAGTAAGAGGATAGACAATGGTTGGCCTGGACAGGTATGGGAGGGATAGGTGGCAACAGCATTAGGGGCATAGAGGTAAGAGGATCATCAGAAACGGACTAGACAAAAGACAAGTGACAGCTATATGGGGCTGGAGTGATAGATGACAGCAGCATTCCACACACAGATATCAAAGGATAGACAGCATGGGACCTGATAGGCAACGGCTGTACAGGAATGGAGGGATAGGTGACAGCGGCATTATCACAGAGGTAAGAGGATTAACAAGTGACCACTGTACAGGGTTGTATGGATAGGGGACCGCAACCTCAGAGCCACAGAGGTAAAAGGACAGACCGCCGTAGATCAGACAGGTGCTAAGTGACAGATGTTAAAGGTTGAAGGCATAGAAGACAGCAGCCTTATGGACACAGAAGTAGATGGCAGTGGAATAGATAGGTGAAAAATGACAGCTGTTCAGGGATGGCGGGATATGTGACAGCAGCCTTATGGAAACAGAGGTAGATGGCAGTGGAATAGATAGGTGACAAATGACAGCTGTACAGGGATGGAGGGATAGGTGACAGCAGCCTTATGGGCACAGACACAGATGGCAGTGGAATAGATTAGATAGGTGACAAATGACAGCTGTACAGGGATGGAGGGATAGGTGACAGTGGCCTTATGGACACAGACACAGACGGCAGTGGAATAGATAGGTGACAAATGACAGCTGTACAGGGATGGAGGGATAGGTGACAGTGGCCTTATGGACACAGACACAGATGGCAGTGGAATACATAGGTGACAAATGACAGCTGTACAGGGATGGTGGCATAGGTGACAGCAGTGTTAGGGACATTAAAGTAAGAGGAAACAGGTACACTATACAAGTGACAAATGACAGAAGTGGAGGTGCTTGGCTCATTTAACTACTTTACTGGTACAAGGAAAGATGAGAAGATTGCTGACAAATGACAACACGCAGCACATGTCAGTGACCTCACGTATGGAGACACAGGAGTGAAATAAGCTAGGCCAGCATTTGGGACACAGTAGTAGGAATATAATCCACACACAGCCCAGCAGTATGAGGTTGGAGGTGACCAAGCATGTAGAACGGGTGGGTCGCCCCAGGATTAGGGATCCAGGTACAAGAGTGAAGGACAGATGATGATGCGTATCCAGTGACAGCAGAATAGGACTGGAGGGGCAGGTGAAAGGAATAATAGGGACTCCGATTTAAAGGAGACAGCGCAGGCTGGACATGTGTATATGATGAGATTTAAGAGGAAGAGGTATTCAGGCAACAAACAGGGACAGGCAACTGGGCAGGCGATGACAGTATGGAACCTAGAAGGGCAAGTTTTGGGGGGCACACAGAAGTGAGTGATCATTTCTGTGAAGGAGAGGTGACGGCTTGTCACCAAACTTGTCAAATGTTGTTAAATAATGCATTTTTTTTTCTATAACATTCTTACATCAGGGGTAGCCAAAGTGTGGTCCTTCTGCTGTGGTGACACTTCAAATTCCATCACCCCTCTGCCTCTAGAAGCCATGCCTGTGGTTGTCGGAGTCTTGCAAAGCCTTATGGGATGTGTAGTTCCGCAATGGCAGGAAGGTGGAAGTTTGGCTACCCCTGCCCTGGACCAAACATCCTCATCTCCTGTTCAATCTGTTTTCTCTTACCAACCAGTCCTTTGTATTGTCCTCTTTAGAATAATTAATTCAATGGCCCGCCACACCCCCTTCTGCCCCACAAAAAAGTGAGCCGGCCGCAATGCATGGCAGTGCGTTCTGGCCAGAATCGGGCCAGGAATGCACTGCATCTGGTGTGAACGGGCCCTAAAACAAAACAAAAAAAGGTTTCAGCTTTTCATACTGTTTTAATCCCCTTATCTTAGGCTCCGTTCACACAGGAGCGGTTGTCCGTGCTTATTCGGCTGTATGAATATGCGTGGAACCGCTCTAAACATAAAACACAATGCACTTTAATGTGCATTGTCCAAACTTTTGCGGCGACCGCGCAGAACGAAAGCACGGGTCCCGCAAAATAGTACAAGCGCAATTTTTTGGGGGCGGAGTCCGCACGTTCGCTGCTGTAGTAATAGCCATAAACGAGTGGAATCCATGCAGTTGTAAAGATTTTAGCGCTTGTTTGCCGTGCAGTCTTTCGCACGGAATACTGCGGGGGGAAATGCAAGCGCTATATGTGAATGGAGACTTAGTATAGTTCTGTAACAAAACAAAAAAACCTGACTGTCCTAATCCTTTCCTGTGCTATTCAAAACTACATTAAAAAAGCCTAGCGCCTCGTGGCTTAGTATAGTTTGCAGTCAGGTAGGTGCAGGCCTTGGTAGGTGACAGGGTAAGGTACTCTGCTCCTATGAGCTCCCTATGCCTGATCTAGGCTGACGGGTAACTAGCGGTAGTAATTGGAAAGGCAGCAGGACGGTTGGAGGATAATGTGTGTAAACAAAGGAGCAGATATCTCGGATGGTAAATCGGCTTACAGTTGCCAAGTTCATAATAACCGGATGAGAATGGCAAGGCCTGTAGAGACCTCGAGCAGCAGGACTGTATACTGTACTGCTCTGTAGGGCTAATAATGAACCTGAGAGCCGTGAGCTGTGACTGTGTATCATCGCTGCTCCTAATCTCGTCATTTTGTACGTTTGACGTAATGAGGCAAAAATAGGAAATGTTTATTTGACCTGTTTCTGTATATTTGATTTTAATTTTTTTTATTGTCCCTTGTTATTCATACAATTGTCTGAGCAGTGGCTTTGTTGCCCATAGAAAGCAACCCGAGTCTTGAATTTTCTAACCTGCACTAGAATCCAGTTGGTTGCTATGGGTAACACGCTTTCTCTGCAGGCCCTTTTTTATGAAAGAAGTTTTGGTCTAGGGGCTAAAGTAAAGAAAACACTATCGCCTGATCCTCTGCCTGCCTGGCTGCTAGACCAGTCCCATCAGCTTCTTCTTTCCCGGGCTCCAGCGATCTAAGGACCCGTGACATCACGAGGGACATTCCACCAGCTTGTGGTGAAGGAGAGCGACGAGCACTCACTGATGCAGGACTGAGGGTCAGGTAAGTGAATTTTCTTTATTCTAGTCCCTAGTCCAGGGGTGGGCAACTCTGGCCCTCCAGCTGTGCTTTAACTGCAAATCCCAACATGCCTCTGGCTCTGGAAGTCATGCCTCTGTAAGCCTAGGCCTCGTTCACACCTGAACGCTCGACGAACGCTCTACAAAACGCTCAAACATCTAAATCCCATTGTATTCAATGGGTCTGGTTCACACCTTGGCGTATTTCAGCCCGTTCCTAACGCGCTACAAAACGCCCCACGCCTGAAAAGGTACATGTACTACTTTGGGCCGTTTTTGTTGCGCGTTTCCATTGGGATACAGCCAAGTAGCCCTCGGAAACGCGTGTTCGTCGCGCGATTTTTTTTTTTACCGCAATTTTTTTACCGCTACAGACGTGCATA